GGGGCTTCCCATGGTAAAATGTCCAAAGCATGGTGCATTGGAAGCTGTGGAGTGCTCGTTTTGCAACCGCGCTGCTGCAGCGGTGGTCAAGTCATGCAATGCTAGCGAGACAGCTCTGCACAGCCTCACCACGGAACCCAAAACCAAGGCTGACAGCGTGCAGCCTTGATCCTTTGAGAGTTGCACACTCTGCAGACTGTCATCGCGAGCAAATTATGTGGATCACACATCGGCTTGCAGAGCTGCCATTCCAGAAGAAAGTGCAGCACGCGCGAGCAATGACAAAACATGCTGCAGGAATCACGGAGACAGTGCGAGCAACCGACTGCGATACTAGAAGTTCGAAGATTGCTGCTTCATACGACTCGCAGGGTCAAATCTGGACGCTTTGCCTCGGACAGCTTTTTCAGCATCCACGCTTCTTCGTGCCTGGTCGCGCAAACAAGTCGCAACAGTTTGGAATCTTCGACTAGCGTCGCACCAACAGCACAGCTGCAGCAAATTCAGGGGCTGCACGAGACACGTCAGAACCCAACAAGATGCAATGCCATGGAACAACGGGCGAGCTCGGAACAAGCCAGTGCTCAAACCCTCCAGGATCGCTGCCTGTTTCCGATTTCCTGCGTGATGGCCAGCACTTCTGTGGCCTGGAGCTCAAACTGCTCCCGGCACCCAACTGAGCAATCACTAACAGTAACAGTCCATCTTGTTCGAGTCAGCCACATGTTATGTTTTGGCAGCTGCCTTCAATGTACTGAAGTCTACGCTCACATCAAGCATAGTTGGGAGCTGCACCAGTGCTAGTGCCTCTTCATTCGCACTGCATTCCTGCAGACCGGCGGCAGAGAATCCCGGAATGTTGCGTCGCTCAAGAACAAAGCCGACGGGTCTGAGGAGCACAGTCACATGCGATGTGTCCAGGGTCCTGCAATGCAGCGACACCGCCCGACCCAAGGTGGACCAATGCAGACCTGGGAAGCACAAGTTCGCCTTTCAAAGTCTGCAAGTGCGCAAACAATCGTCGTTCCTTTTACCCTGTCCAGTCTCTTAGTCAAAGCAGGACAAGGCACTGCATCGTTCCGAGTGCATACGAGTGTTCTGATTGTCATTCCTTCGATATTTGTTGGATTGAAAGAAGAGAAACATGAGCGAGCTTGTTCTTTTATGAATTTTTAGGCCTATGCAGACGCCCGGTTGACACATTTGGGAAAAAAGTCATCAGTGCGCTTCGTCTGTTTCAGCCGGTTGCATCCACAGTGCCTGTGACGATCTCTTCCGTTTCACTTCGGACTTCTTATGTCTTTACGGACGGTACCGACGAGAAAGGCCGAGGTTCGTTTGGAGGGCCAATATAGTTCTTTGCTGGAGAGTTGTCGGATTCGACGCCGAGCCGAGCAAGAGCACATTCTGGGGGCTTGGTTCGGGAACGGCCTCTTCATGGTGATGGCTCCTGTCTACCAAAATCGGTAGCAGTGCCCATTGGGCCCCGGCTTTTTTTCCGGACCCCTCAGCTCCTCAACGCGATCTTGGATCAACTGGAGGGCATCCTCGGCAAACGCTCCCCGCCTACTCTGCCTTCACTCCAAAAATTTTAAGTTCTTTTGTGAAAAACTCATAGAGAGGTACTGTAGCTGCTTTACTGAACACAAAAAACCGCTCCTATCTGCCACCGATAAAGTCGCAAGCAAGCGTCGGCATGCAGGCCCCGGACAACCATGGCCTTCACCACGGCGGTGAGCGCCGTGGCCTCGTCGCCCACACCAGGCCCCGAAAGGGCATGCAGGAGTGTTCGAAGCCTCAACCTCTGCACTGAAACTTGCCTGCTTCTTGGCCCCAGCGTAAGCGAGTGACGGAGCGAAGCGCTGTCCGAACATGTTTTCACCTACATCAGGCACCCTGCATATGGAATGAATGCCTAGGGCGAAGCCTGGGGCGCCGAATACAATGCAGCTACCGTTGACTCATCAAAGAATAGTCGACGCCCGCCTAGGCCTAGGCCGTTCAGTCAATGTGGATTTCATGCTGCTCCTCAAGAAGGCCCGACAACTGGCCCGGAATACTACGGGGTAAGCCTCCAAAAACCGTCTCAGGTTTTGATGCCAACCGTAGCAGTGCCGGTGCCAACGCCGGCGCCGCCAATACCAATACTGACGCAGACAAAGATGCTGATGCCTATGACGATGCCGACCAACTACACTACAATACCACCATGATGCTCACGGTCTTCCATTACAAACCAACGAACATTCTGATCAGGATTGAAGACGGAACCTGCCTCGCCCTTGTAGTTGCCGAGCGATCTCCAAATCGTGACGGCCTGCCCCAAAAACACGTCACAGTGTCTAGGGCTTCTGCGACAGCCTGAAGTTGTTCCGTCCATGCATCGCTCCAAAACAACAGGTAGTGGCTATGCCAATGCTATTCCCTTGCTTACACCTCCTGTTTGATGCTCTTCCAACCAATCAGAAGTGGAGAAGTCGCGATGTCAACTGTGCTGCTGTTCCTCCCAACCTCAACCCTCGTACCACTCATTGTATCCATGTTCGCATGTGTAGCATGTTTTACTAGCATGTTGCACACCGACGGCACTTAGCGTTGGTGACGGCCTCTTAAAAAGGCTACTGGCATGCACGCCAGCTGTTACAGCATGCGGTTGTGTTTCCAATTACGATCCTCCTGCTGATGCTGTCGTTGCATTCTCTTGTTGGTGCTGTTGCTCCTGCTCATCCTGATGCTCTTGCGAACCTACCAGACACTGAACCCAAAGTTCCGACTCTCCACGCTTGAAACCACCCAAATTCAAAGCCCTGTAAGTGTGCATTGGTCGCGAAGTCGTCGCAAGACTCCAGACCCTGAACGCCAATCCCAAAAGCTGACACCTTGAACCTTTCGATCCGTGCCTCCTCTGCAGTTCGCTGCGCCGTTAACCCTGTCATGGTGAAGAGCTGCTCAGGGTTCAGGGTTTGGGGTTCAGGGTCTATAGGGGCATAGGAGTCTCGGGGTGCAAGCTTTCCGGCCAGTAGTGCTTGAGGAGGCCAGAAACATGCCGCCACAACACCTTTCACTGATCCTTGTTGTATTCATGGGTGCTGCTGCCGGAGCCGCTGTGGACCGTTTCGGTCAAAACGAGCTCCAATGCAGCCACTATCCATAACAAAGGGCACAGATTTGTGAGTCTGTCCCGCAGCCTCCGTTGGGTTCATAGCGCTGCCGCTCCGAGAGGTTGTAGAGTGCTGTGGCCTGACGAGATGAAAACAGGTTCTGCGGCTCGTAGTGCTTGATATTTTTCTATGGTGACGACGACGACTACTGCTACTGATTACTGCTGATGTCAGCCACATGCTCTTATGTGATGGTCGTAGTATGTGGTAGTCGTAGTAGTAGTCGTCGTCTTCATGGTCGTAGTCGTCGTAGTATGGTCGTAGTCGTCGTAGTATGGTCGTAGTAGTCGTAGTAGTCGCAGTAGTCGTTGTGGTCGTTGTAGTCGTCGTAATAGAAGTAGACGTAGTAGAAGTGGTGGTGGTGGTGGTAG